ACTAATTTTGCAAATCTTCACAAAACTGCACCATTTTAAATTTTGATTAAACGAGTTATTTTTTGTGTCATTTGAAAAGGATGAACCACCCAACGCAGATCAATACTAAATCAGTGTGTTATTTATTTGTTGTAACTTTTATTGGTTAAATATTTCTTTTTTGTGTCATTTGAAAAGGATGAACCACCAACGCAGATCAATACTAAATCAGTGTGTTATTTATTTGTTGTTACTTTTATTGGTTAAAATATTTCTTTCTAGTAACTCTTTCAGAAAAAATTTAAAAATTCGCCTAAAATACTGTCTAATAAGATTTTTTTTCCAATTAAATAAATTCCTTAAAAAAATTAGCAGAAAATAACGACAAAGAAGCAATGTTTAATTCAGCCATTTATTATAATGGAGAAGGAACAGAAAATAATCTAGAAAAAGCATTTCATTATTATCAAAAAGCAGCAGAAAATGGTTTTGCTGATGCAATGTTTACTTTAGCTATAGCTTATGAAATTGGAAAAGGAGCAGAAAAGAATATAGAAAAAGCCTTCTATTGGTATCAAAAAGCAGCAGAAAATGGAATTACTGAAGCAATGTCTACTATAGCTTTATATTATAAAAAAGGAGAAGGAACAGAAATGAATTTAGAAAAAGCCTATTATTGGTATCAAAAAGCAGCAGAAAATGGTTGCAAAGAATCAATGTTTAATTTAGCTTTATGTTATGAAAATGGAGAAGGAACAGAAATTAATTTAGAAAAAGCCTTTTATTGGAATCAAAAAGCTGCTGAAAATGGTTTTACTGATGCAATGTTTAATTTAGCTTTATGTTATAAAAACGGAAAAGAAACAGAAATAAATTTAGAAAAAGCTTTTTATTGGTATCAAAATGCAGCAGAAAATGGAATTATTGATGCAATGTTTAATTTAGCCATATGTTATGAAATTGGAGAAGGGACAGAAATAAATATAGAAAAAGCCTTCTATTGGTATCAAAAAGCAGCAGAAAATGGAATTACTGATGCAATGTGTAATTTAGCCATCTGTTATGAAATTGGTGAAGGGACAGAAATGAATATAGAAAAAGCCATCTATTGGTATCAAAAAGCAGCAGAAAATGATAATGAAGTAGCAATGTATAATTTAGCCTTATTTTATAAAAATGGAAAAGGAACAGAAAATAATCTAGAAAAAGCATTTCATTGGTATCAAAATGCAGCAGAAAATAATTTTACTGATGCAATGTTTAATTTAGCTTTATGTTATAAAATAGGGGAAGGAGCAGAAATGAATTTAGAAAAAGCCTTTTATTGGTATCAAAAAGCAGCAGAAAATGGTTGTGAAGAATCTATGTATAACTTAGCTTTATGTTATGAAAATGGAGAAGGAACAGAAATGAATTTAAAAAAAGCTTTTTATTGGTATCAAAATGCAGCAGAAAATGGTTTTGCTGATGCGATGTTCAATTTAGCCATATGTTATGAAGATGGAAAAGGAACAGAAATGAAATTAGAAAAAGCTTTTTATTGGTATCAAAAAGCAGCAGAAAATGGTATTACTGATGCAATGTTTAATTTAGCCAATAGTTATGAAATTGGAGAAGAAACAAAAAAGGATATAAAAAAGGCTTTTTATTGGTATCAAAAAGCAGCAGAAAATGGGAATGAAGCAGCAATGTATAATTTAGCCTTATTTTATAAAAATGGAAAAGGAATAGAAAATAATCTAGAAAAAGCCTTTTATTGGTATCAAAAAGCAGCAGAAAATGGTTGTAAAAAATCAATAAATATTTTAGCTGGATACTATGGAAAAAAAACAGAAATAAATTTAGAAAAAGCCTATTATTGGTATCAAAAAGCAGCAGAAAATGGAATTACTGTTGCAATGCTTAATTTGGCTATATGTTATGAAATTGGAGAAGGAACAGAAAAGAATATAGAAAAAGCCTTCTATTGGTATCAAAAAGCTGCTGAAAATGGTGATGAAATGGCAATGTTTTGTTTAGCTTTATATTATGAAAATGGAGTAGAAACAGGAATTAATTTAGAAAAAGCTTTTTATTGGTATCAAAAAGCAGCAGAAAATGGTTTTACTGATGCAATGTTTAATTTAGCTTTATGTTATAAAAATGGAGAAGGAACAGATATGAATTTAGAAAAAGCTTTTTATTGGTATCAAAAAGCAGCAGAAAATGGAATTACTGACGCAATGAATAATTTAGCCATATGTTATGAAGATGGAAAAGGAACAGAAATGAATTTAGAAAAAGCTTTTTATTGGAATCAAAAAGCAGCTGAAAATGGTAATGAAGTAGCAATGTATAATTTGGCTTTATTTTATGAAAATGGAAAAGGAACAGAAAATAATCTAGAAAAAGCCTTTTATTGGTATCAAAAAGCAGCAGAAAATGGAATTACTAATGCAATGCTTAATTTAGCCATATACTATGAAAATGGAAAAGGAATAAAGAAGAATATAGAAAAAGCCTTATATTGGTATCAAAAAGCTGCTGAAAATGGTGATGAGATGGCAATGTTTAATTTAGCTCTATGTTATGAAAATGGAGATGGAAAAGAAATAAATTTAAAAAAAGCCTTTTATTGGTATCAAAAAGCAGCAGAAAATGGTCATGAAAATGCAATATTTTGTTTAGCTATATGCCATAAAAATGGAGAAGGAACAGAAAAGAATATTGAAAAAGCCTTGTATTGGTTTCAAAAAGCAGCTGAATATGGTAATGAAGTGGCAATGTTTAATTTAGCTTTATCTTATAAAAATGGAGAAGGAACAGAAATAAATCTAGAAAAAGCCTTTTATTGGTATCAAAATGCAGCAGAAAATAGTTTTACTGATGCAATGTTTAATTTAGCTTTATGTTATGAGAATGGGGAAGGTACAGAAATAAATTCAGAAAAAGCCTTTTATTGGAATCAAAAAGCAGCAGAAAATGGTTTTACTGATGCAATGTTTAATTTAGCTTTGTGTTATGAAAATGGAAAAGGAATAGAAAAAAATAAGGAAAAAGCCTTCTATTGGTATCAAAAAGCAGCTGAAAATGATAATGAAAGAGCATTGCTTTATTTAGCTTTAAACGATGTAGAAACAGAAAAGAATTTAAAAACAACATTTTATTGGAACCAAGAATCAGCAGAAAATGGTCTTGTTGAAGAAATGTTTAAGTTAGCATTATGTTATAAAAATGGAGAAGGAACAGTAATAAATTTAGAAAAAGCCTTTTATTGGTATCAAAAAGCAGCAGAGAATGGTTATAAAGAAGCAATGAAGACTTTAGCTATATGTTATGAAAATGGAGAAGGGACAGAAAAGAATGAGAAAAAAGCCTTTTATTGGTATCAAAAAGCAGCAGAAAATGGAATTACTGATGTAATGTTTAATTTAGCCATATGTTATGAAATTGGAGAAGGAACAGAAATGAATTTTAACAAAGCCTTTTATTGGTATCAAAAAGCTGCCGAAAATGGTAATGAAAAGGCAATGTTTTGTTTAGCTTTATATTATAAAAATGGAAAAGAAACAGAAATAAATTTGGAAAAAGCTTTTTATTGGTATCAAAAAGCAGCAGAAAATGGTTATGAAAATGCAATAATTTGTTTAGCCACATGCTATAAAAATGGAGATGGAACAGAAAAGAATATAGAAAAAGCCTTCTATTGGTATCAAAAAGCTGCTGAAAATGGTAATAATGTAGCAATGTATAATTTAGCCTTATTTTATAAAAATGAAAAAGGAACAGAAAATAATCTAGAAAAAGCCTTTGATTGGTATCAAAAAGCAGCAGAAAATGGAATTACTGATGCAATGTTTGATTTAGCTTTATGTTATAAATATGAAGAAGGAACAGAAATGAATTTAGAAAAAGCCTTCTATTGGTATCAAAAAGCAGCAGAAAATGGAATTATTAATGCAATGCTTAATTTAGCTATATGTTATGAATTTGGAGAAGGAACTGAAAAGAATATAGAAAAAGCCTTTTATTGGTATCAAAAGGCTGCTGAAAATGGTAATAAAGTGGCAATGTTTGGTTTAGCTTTATGTTATGAAAATGGGATAAAAACAGAAAATAATCTAGAAAAAGCCTTTTATTGGTATCAAAAAGCAGCTGAAAATGGTTTTACTGATGCAATGTTTAATTTAGCTTTATGTTATAAAAATGGAGAAGGAATAGAAATGAATTTAGAAAATGCCATCTATTGGTATCAAAAAGCAGCAGAAAATGGTTGTAAAAAAGCAATGAATAATTTAGCTGCATATTATGGAAAAGGAACAGAAAATAAGGAAAAAGCTTTTTATTGGTATCAAAAAGCTGCTGAAAATGATGATGAAATGGCAATGTTTAATTTAGCCTATAGTTATGAAAATGGAGAAGGAACAGAAAAGAATGAGGAAAAAGCCTTTTATTGGTATCAAAAAGCAGCAGAAAATGGTAATACTCTTGCAATAATCAATTTAGCCAGTAAATATTATTATGGAGAAAGAATAGAAAAGAATATGAAAAAATGGGTTTATTTGAATCAAAAGGCAGCAGAAAATGGGTTTAAAAGAGCAATGCATAATTTGGCCTATAGTTATAAAAATGGAGAAGGAACAGAAAAAGATTTACAAAAAGCCTTTTATTGGTATCAAAAAGCAGCAGAAAATGGAAATGCTAATGCAATGTTTGATTTAGCCAAATGCTATAAAAATGGAGAAGGGATAGAAATGAATTTAGAAAAAGCCTTTTATTGGTATCAAAATGCAGCAGAAAATGGTTTTACTGATGCAATGTTTAACTTAGCCTATAGTTATGAAAATGGAAAAGGAACAGAAAATAATTTAGAAAAAGCCTTCTATTGGTATCAAAAAGCAGCAGAAAATGATCATAAACATGCAATGTTTAATTTATCTAGATATTATATAAATGGAAAAGAAACAGAAAAGAATTTAGAAAAAGCCTTTTATTGGTATCAAAAGGCAGTAGAAGGTATTTCTAAAAATGAAGCTGAATACTGTTATAAATGCAAACAACCATATATTGATTACCAGTGGTGCAAACAATGTAATACCAAACGATTTAAACAAAATTTTTCAAAGTGGACTAGTAATAATGAAATTATTGATAAATTTATTCAAGATGCACAAATAAATGCTAAAAATAGTTATGAAATCTTAGAGTGGATACCTTATGATAGATTGTCAGATATTAATTATCATGATAAAGGAGGATTTGGTGAAATTCATAGAGCTATCTGGTCAGATGGACCTATTTATAGTTGGAATTCTGATGAACAGCAATGGAATAGACAAGCAGAATATAAGGTCGCTCTTAAAATACTTAAGGGTTCATCAAGTTCAAATAATAAATTTTTGGATGAGGTATAGTATTTATAATTATAATAAACTGAATTTTATTTTCTTTGCAAAAATTTATTAATTTTTTTGTTATTTAAATAGTGGAAATATCATTATAATTGTCAGAAAGGATCATTTTCAAAATTTATTCAATTTTTTGGGTTTACACAAGATCCAAATAATTTAAATTATATAATAGTAATGAGCTATGCAAAAAAAGGAACTTTGAAAGATTGTTTATCTGACATAATTAAATTTAAGTGGCAAGACAAGTTAGAATTATTGAAAAAAATTATTTTGGGACTTAAAATAATTCATGAATCAAAATTAACTCATGGTGATTTTCACGATCGTAATATTTTAGTGTCAGATGATTACGATGAGGTATTTATTATTGATTTCGGATTATGTAAACCTATAAGTGATTTACAAGATTCTGACAATGATGATGATAAAATTTGTGGAGTTTTGCCTTTTATGGCGCCTGAAATATTAAGAAGAAATCCTTATACTTCAGCAAGTGATATTTATAGTTTTTCAATGATAATGTGGGAATTTACATCGGGTATCCCTCCATTTAATCATGAATGTGATCTTAACCTTGCTTTAAGTATTTGTGAAGGGAAACGTCCTGAAATTAAAAAAAGTACTCCAAATTGTTATGTAGATTTAATGAAAAAATGTTGGGATTCAAATCCTTCTGATAGGCCAACTATAGTAATGATTGAAAATATTTTATCTAAATGGATCAAATGTATTAATGAACATTATGAAATAAACAGGGATGAAAATAATACTACCATGTTAACAAAGTATAGTGATGATCAATTGAAAAATAATATGTTGGAATTTGTAGAAGCAAACAAAGTTAATGTACAAGAACAAGCAAACAGTTCTAATATACAATCTCATCCACAATCTCATCCACAAACATATTATACAAGTCGTGAATTCTCTGAAATTTTAGTTCAAGAAGGGTCAGATGAGTCTCAGTGTTGGGATGAATTTAAAATTTGAAGATTAACCAAATTTTGCCCAAATTATTTATTATCTTTATTAACAAGCACTATAAAAATGAATAAATTTAATTTTCATAATTATTAATTTCCTAAATATATTAGCAGTGATGCAATGTTAAATTTCAGTTATTTTCAGAAAGTTTTATGAATTTTATTGGAGACAGCAGAATTTAAAGTTGATCATAGATTAACATGCGAATTTATTTTTTATTTTGAATAAGAGATCTTTGGTTATTTTTAATGGATATAAAAGCCAAATTTTTTTTTTTAATTTTAAAAACGGTTTTATTATTGAAATGGTTAAAATACGCAGAAATAATTAAATACATTAATTTTGTACCTATAATTTATACTGAATTATTTAACTATTAAAGGTTATTTGCATTTTATACAAAATGTGAGGCCATCAATTAATTGTATTATCGTGTCAATAAAGTATCTATATATTCTAAACTACTAACTAATCTAATACTGAATAATTTTCTGCATCAGGAACTTATAAAAACCACTAAATTATGATGTGTCTATAAATCCAATAAATCTGATGAAAACCAAATATCTCTCAGTTTTCCTCCGATCTCTAAATATTGACCTTCCCTGCATTTGGCTTTTTTACTAGCTCCATAATGTGTAATCAACGATCTATTAGCTTTTCCTATTCATTTCATATTTTTAGTAATACCCGATTATGTTCCCGTTGACTTACTACTTCACATCTGGGTATCCAAATAAACCTTCAGTTCTTGGTAACTCTTTAATATTAGCTACAAATTCTTTGAAATTTTTTATCTTTAATTCCGAAATATAATCAGCTATTAACAATCCCTTCAATAGTTTCATGAAAAATATGACCATTAAAATTTTTTGGCTTACGCAAAATTCTTACTAAAAAGCAAAAACCATTTAAGGGTTGGTCTTTGGTCAAAGAATCTGTCAAAAAAATCTTTTTTTTAATTGCAAAGATCCTGAAGCATGTATGTTCATTAATCTTCTAGATGATGTAATTCCGTTAGTTTTGGATTTTTATCCAATAATTTTTCGAAGTGGATGTTGGGAAGTTTACGAAGAAGCAATGCTTCGTATGTGGAAATTTTTTATCGATACCGCCATAAAATTTATAATAAGTTACCATTGGCATTCTTAGTGACGTTTTTTATTGGCAGAAATTATTAAAAGTTCTCTTCATATCTTTAATGATTATTATGTAGAAAACTTTCACAGTTGTATTAGAAATCAAATAATTTTAATACTGCTCAACAAATTATTAATCAAGCAAAAATAATTGACCAGATGCGTGATAATAACTCCTTTACCGAAGTTTTTTCAAAAATCAGCGATTTTCCTTTTAAATTTCCAAAATGTTTGGAAAAATCGTGGATATAAAAAGAATTGTCAATACAATTTACCAACAATTGCCAAAATTGTGAATGAAAAAGTTCTGTCCCCCTAAATCAGACAAACTATGTGATTGGAGCACTTTTTCATCAGAAGAGGCGTCAGGTAGTGGTCTATCATGTGGTATGGTTACCATACAGAATGTTTTAACTAAGTGAATCAGAGATGCCCATATTGTTATAAATATCTTTGTAATGGTATTAATAAAGATAATTGCAAGATATTTCAGAATATGTTGAATATGAAATTTGATGATGATAAGGATAATGGAGAAGATTCGGAGGACCAGCAAGTTTAGAGGATAATGATGATAATGTAGTTGTTTTCGCTGATGAAGATATAAACAGAAAATTGGAGGAGGCATTAAACCCATGTTAATGATATAATTTGGAGTTAATTAAGGTTAATTTATTGGTTGATTTTATAATTAAGTTTACGTTAAAATTTATTTTACTTACGTTTAACTTCACCGTAAAATATTATAATTTAAAATTTATTTTTTAATATTTATATTTATATTTATTTGCTTGATTTAACATTTAAATTTATTTAAAATATTTATGGTTTTTACAATTATTATAACTATTGACGTGTTAAAAATTTCGAATAACGGTGTAAGACCTAAGCCCGTGATAAATCACGTTGCCACCTTATCACGTTGCCACCTTAGGCTTAACAAAACAATTACTTTATTAATAATATAAATAAATACAATTATATGCTTGGTTTAACAATACTAAATATAAATAAAAATAAAATCTTTCATTCTCTAAGAAACATTTTATCCCTTTTTAATATTTCGGCACAAGATCTTAAAATTTTCTTCAAATCGCCTTCAAATCAAGTCATATGTATCTAAATCACCTGATATAATCCCAATCACTAATCATTTCATTACGGACGTTACATTTGTAACGTCATACAATTTTAAACTACTAAAAATTTATATACTAATTCTAAATATAGTACTGCGCCTCATAATTAATAAATTTACTAGGTATATTACGGCATTACACTAGTTACTCTTTTTTTTTAAATACCTTTTTTTTACCGATTCTAATCATTTCTTATTTTTTTTTCAAACCGAGAAAAAAATATTTTAAATTATTTTTTTTTCTTTTTTTTTTTTGGCTCAAACCGAAAAAAATGAATATTTTTTTTTAATTAGTTGTTTTATAAATTATCTAGTAATTCTTTTTTGACAATATGAAATGTTTGAATAAATAAAGTAATAAAATATCAAAAATGATGTTTTGAATCAATTTTTTACGTTATTTAAAAAAAAGTGTTAATTTAAATATATATGTTTTTTTCTTTATTTGTAAATACTATTAATATTAAAATTTAATTTTATCTACCGGAAATGTAATATATTTATTCATTTTATATTTTATTGTATTGAAAAAATTATTTGGGATGATATTTTATAAATAGTTTCTTTTTTTCAGAAACTCACTATTCATACATAATATATTATTTGCAATTTAGATGTTAATAATAAATGAATAATATAGTAGTAACAAAATGTAATGAACAAGAATTACCAACCAAAGTTAATATTGGTACTGTTTAAAATCCCAAGTGGTTTTTTGTAAATAAGCATCACGTAAACCAGGATATGTTGAAAGTAACATGATTTTTACTTACTAGATTATTATATTGATTTCGAGGTCTTGATACTTATTAGCTCAAACATGTTTCAATAAAAGTTAAAATACACGGGAAAGCGCTAGGACGATCAATAAATAAATCTATCTTCTTTTATATTTAATGCATTTAAAATATATTACTAATTTGCAGCAAACAACAGTTTATGAATAAATTTACTCGAAATTATAACTAGAAACCAAATCCGCAAAATTAAAAATCATATGATGTTTGAATTATATTCTATCTAATAAGTAAAGACACAAATAATAATATAGAATAAAAGAAAAAATTAAAAAGTTTAATAAAAGTTTAATTTTCTAAATAATTTCTTACAAATATCGCAAAATAAGTTTAGAGCAGTACATGATTTAATAATTATTAGGCCACCTTTTCTTATTACTACAAGTACTTTAACAAAATTAATTACTATTTGAAATTTTAAATATTAATATATATATGTGTTAAAAAAAAAATCTCTTAACCAGTTGCAATTCTAATAATCTAAGCACATGGATAATTTGTATAGATTAATCCTGAATACAATAAATTCTTAAAATCCATTATTCTAAACTTGAATAACCCCGCACGAAGCAACGGGCTAGTCGAACCATTGCTAGTAAGCGCCTAGAAATATTCATAATTTGGTTTTTTTACCGTAATATAAAAATAATTTGTCAATATTCCTGGTCTTCAAGACTAGTATTAAATTAATATCGTTATTATATCGATCATTCGTAAAATCCAGAATTATACTTCGGCACAAACTTATCCTCATATTATTATAAGGTCAATAATAACTGATAAACTAAGATTGACACAAATTCAAATAAAAATAAATAAATTTACCCGATAATCTAAATAATCAAATTATAAATTAGTTTATTAAGATTTTTTTTTCTTTTTTAAAAGTAATGTTATATTTTTATAACTTACATTCATTAATAATTGTTTTAATGCATCATCTTCAATCCCTTGGTTCAACATCAATCATAAGTAAAACATAATCAGCTTGTTGATGATGAGATTGATTAGGATGTAATAAATCATATACACGTTTTTTCCTTGCTTGTGTTATATGATAGCAGTATTATTATTATTCTCCATTAATAAATTTTCTTCGTCATTGTTTTTATTCATAGAATTGGTTATTTTATTATTATCATTATATATAGTAGCGGTAACCATCTGTTGACCTACGAAACAAGCTTCAACAGATACTTCCTCTAATAATTTAACGTTCCTTCTGTTCTTTCTTCTTTTTATTATTTTTATTCACTATTTTATTATCATTTTCTTTTCATTTAATTTCTTTTGGCTAATTGGATCTTTGAAGAGGATTTCTTAATTCATGAGATATAGAAGAAACGAATGCACCTTTTGCTCTATCAGCAATGATAACTTTTCTTTTTAATACTTCATTAACAATATTTATACCAAAATTACTCAAATAATCACGTTCTTCTTCTTCAAATTGTCTTTGTGGATCTTTGTCATAGCGATTAAGAAATCAAAAGCACTCTGTGTATCATCATAAATCGGTACAACAATACTGGAATGTACATCATCAGGAAAGAGGGTCGATAATGGGGTAAAGAATTTTGATAAATACAACCTCGTGAATGAGCTTGCATTAATAAGTAAAATAAGAAGTAATCATAGAAGCTTTTAAAACTTCAGGAGATAATTCAATTTCACCAGCAGAAGCTAGAGATCTTAAATGACTTGATGTACATCGGGAGGAGGAGCGTTTAAAATGAAATTATTTGAATCACGAGAAGTTATAGATAAAGGACGAGAGCCATCTCTAATAAATAAACTGAATCTACATTTAAAGTGTCTCTCATTAATTTAATTTAACAGCCATATTAAAATATTGTTTCATCAATAGTAGATTTTACTATCTTATTTTCATCATTATTACTAGAATTATTAGCCAATTGAATTTCCAAACAAAATTTACTAAATTCAACTATACTCTCTTGTATCTTATTTCTTACACGTAAATGTAAAGTATCGGTCCATAATTCTAATTCTCTCATGAAAACTTTAACAATTTCCTTTAACTTTAACGACCATTTTTTGAAAAACTATCCCTAGGTTCACGATCGATCACACATATAGTATTAATATTTTGACCATCATCGGTTCGTAAAGGGGTATTAGTATAAAATCTTATAAAGGAGACCAGTAACTAAAGGATTATTACGAAATCTCCAATCCTTAGTAGCAATCAAGTACTACAAATAGTTCATCATTTTCTTATAATACTACAAAAACTTATCCCACTAATAGTTTCACTACATCCCATACCATCTTCAACTTTAAACCATTGATGAGTCGTATTGAGAAGTGATATCATTGATATTGATGTCTTAAAATGTTCTTTTGATAATGCTACAATACGAGTAAAATTAACATCATTTGATGTATTAAGTATTTGAAATCTCCATAACGCTTTTCTACGTTCAACTTCATTAAGAGGTATGGGAGGAGGAAGGTAATGATTATCATCATCTTCTTCTCAGCAATTTTTTCGTAATTACCGTCTACTTCATTTTCTTAGATAAACATTTATTTTTGTTTATAATCATCTTCAAGCTCAATTTTTAAGCTATTAAACTAGGAAAACGGAAACCGTTGAAAGTCTGTAACAACTGAGACCAAGTTCGACTGAAAATTTTCAAATTTTAATTAAAAAAATATTAAATTATTTTTTTTTAAAAAAAAAATGAAAAAATGAAAAAATGATTATTATTCATATTATTCGTTACAAAGACAGTTATTTTTAGGGGTTAAAAGGAAATAACACGATTGTCAAAAAAGGAAACAGTGGTGATTTTTGTGGAATGACGTTTTTGCCAACCAAATTATTAACCAGGGGTTAACCAAAATTTACAATTTCGTCTCCAGAGAAAGTCCTTCGCTTTGCTTCGATTCGATATAAAAAAGGAATTACTTACATTTTCCTCCTTTTAAGTATAAAAACATCATTTTACGTAACATTACTTTATATTTTTTCTGTAGGATTATGGTAAAATTGTTTATTAAGTTCCATCACGAAAAAAATAGTAACGTAATATTGAATTTTGTAACAGAATGAGAGAAAAAAAGATAGAATTTAGTAAAATGGCGAATATAACAAAAAATAATTTGGTGTAACATGGAAACACATGATATTTCTGCGCCTGATCTATTGTAGATTTTCACAGTTCCATTAACGAAATAAAGGTTATTTATCTTATTAATCATATTTCATTTTTAGCGGGAAATTTTTTTTTTTTTTTTTCAAATACTTTTTTTTAGTTCTTATCAAACCGAAAAAAACTTTTTAATTAGTTTTTTACATTATAACTATATTTAAATAAAATTATTAATCGGATAAATAATTTCGATTTTAAGAGATAGAAAAATGGCTTTTTCTAAAACTAAAAAAATATTATTTTTCTTTTGATATAAAAAAAATTTCTTAGACAAATTTTTTTTAAATCACACATAAAAAATTTAATAATCAATAAAACCTTTTTTAAAAAAATATATTTAAAATAAATAGAATTAAAAAAATTGAAAAAATTAAATGATCAGTAGGAATGATCTGACCGATAGTTAAAATGGATGTAAATTTCCCTTAAAAAATTTTTTTAATAAATCGTATAAAAAATTATTTTATTATAATAATATTTGTATATATTAAATCAAATAAATAATGTGGTGCATTCTTCCTAAGGTTTGGATTAAAAATTTTTTTTCTGATAATATTTATTCCATACGTGAATAACGTGATATGATAGGACGACCTACAGTATATCACTTATATGTGCTGTATCATCAGTTTTTATTACAAATATCCTTCTATCTAAATTATTCTTTAATAGAATCAAATATTACTACAGTAGTATATCCGTAATCAAATAAAGTTTTAATTACGAAAAAAATTTTTTTTTTTTGCATCTTTCAAACTTTCAGTTAAAATGCAATTTACATCATGTTAAAGAAGATTCGCTATAATTTAAAACACATAACTATGATATGATGTAATCTCTATAGAATTAACGTATTGAATCAAATCTCTAATATCTGAATAGAAACAAATCACGATTAAACCTTAACATATTTATAATTTGTATTATGAAATGGTTTTTTTTACCGTAATATTAAAATCATTTGTCAAAATTTCTTGCCTTCAAACTGGTATTAATTAATATCGTAAATCATCTGCATGACCCAATCGTAAGGTCATACTGCGGCTGAAGAACTAGAACTATGGCATTAAAATTTTTTTTCATTGTTTTCATTGTTAAGTTTGAAATCTTAGGTATATTGTAAACGTAAAGTATAGTAAAAGGTATTTAAACCTCTCTAATAATAAATAAAAATTAATTAATTAGTATGATCTAAAATTTTGAAGTCAGGTGAATTAAATTATAATCAAGTTCGTGTATCGACCCAAATACTTCGAGTCTATGCGTGTCTAAGGAAATGAATTATAATTATACATGACATGAAGACAGGTATTAATGGTTCAAATTACCAAACTATGATAAATAATAATAACTGAATAAAATAATTTTTTAATAAATAATATGCATATTATTAATTATTATACATAATAATTAGACTTTTATTAACAAGAATCATGATGATGTGACTATTGCTGTTTTAGCACGATGGATTTCTGCAAAAAAATTAAAATTTATTAACTGTTAAAAAACGATGCCACATAAATTTCGAAGATCTAACGCTATACAAGGAACTACATCGCAATTCGCAACTATATGGTCTAAAATTAAACGGTTTCAGCAAAGTACTATTCCCTTATTTTTATTAAAATACTAATTTTTAAAACAAATAAAATAAAAATTGTTTATCTTAGACCAAACTAATAATCTAAAAATACTGTCTAATTTTTTCACAGAATATTAATTGTCTATACAATTTAATGTATTGATCCTGGTGTTCTAATAGAAAATTTGTAATCGTATTCAATATAATGTAATATATATATATACTAGTATACATAAAATAAGTGAAAATGCAGGGAAGAAAAAAAATTTTTTTTTTTAACAATAATAACTTAATAGAAATTTGTATTTTACGCATTCTGCACAAAATGCTCTCATGCGTATTTATCAACGAGAATGGAGTATAAACAAGTAATAGCAAATATATGGGAATTTTGTTGTGAGAAAGTTATAACGAGGATATGGATTAAAAGATGCGAGATAGTAGCTGAAATAGAAAAAGAAAGGGGAGTTAATAAAAAGGATTTAAAAAAGCGTAAACAAATGGATAGGGATGAGAGGGATGAGAACAAAGAAGTAAAAAATAATAAAAATAGAAAAGCAAATGATAATGATAAAAATCAAAAAAATTTAGAGAAAAAAATAAAATTAGTAACGAAAAATAAATTCTTAGTCAATTAAAAATAATTGGTCGAAATTTTATAATTAGAGATTAGTTTAGATTATATAATTTTTTTTAGAAAATTTAGTTTTAGATTAAACTTAGTTATAGAGAATATTATAATGTAAATTATTTTATTTTCTAGGTGTTTTAAAAATTATGTAATCAAATTTTTATATTTGTTCTTAATTAATAGACGCGTTACTATTTTTTTTTTTTTATAAAAAAAAAAGCTCTCATGCGTATTTTTTTATATGCACATATTTAAATATAATGCATATTTTTTTTGGTGCGCAGTCAATATGATCACGTGTATGATCATTTGGACTTTTAAGTAAAATCAAATTCTTGATCAATTTTTCTTACGTCTCTTCTTTCTCTTCTCTCTTCACCTTATCTTCGTCACTATTTTATAAATTTTATCGTAAATACTATTATAATGAGTGATTCAGAATCAATTTCAAGCGATGGTTCTAATGATGCAATTTTTCAAAATGATTTTATTGAAAGTATTCCAGATGATAGTGATTCTAGTGAAAGTGAAAATGATGTTTATGATATGAATGTTTCACTTTGAGAAGGCTGCTTTTAAACATATTAAACTTTGGGCTCATCAACAAGGCTTTTTTGTTCGCAAAGGAAGGTCTGAAAAAGTACAATCTAGGCGAGGAAAACAGACAATTTTTGTCGTAGTGAAGGAGCTTATAATCAAATAAATCATCAAAATCACATCGAACAAATTGTAAATGGCACGTTAATCTCTCCCGGCCAAATAAAAACAATCTGAATGATATGAATTTTATTACTACACTTTTTAATGAGCACTTTGGATATAATTTGGATACTTCTGCAAGTCATTTTGAAGCATCTAAAGCTTTTACAAAGCCTATGCTAAATGACATTGAATGTATGTAAGTGTTCATTTAAAACCATTGGCAATTAAACGTATGTTGAAAGCCAAATAGTTCAGAATTGAATGATAATCCATATATTTCTCTTAGTAATCAACGCCTATATTATGTTAGTGTGCATGGATTAGCCAAGAAAGCTAGTCAGATTGCCTGTAAGAGTTGTGACGATTCTTTTATCGCTTTACTTGAAGAATACATTAACAAAAAAAATAGAGAAGCATTAAATTTAGAACAATCCAGATCAAGCCAAATCGTGATGATCATCAAATTACGAATGGTTTAGAAATTGATCAAGAAAATGTTGGCCAAATAGGAAATCCTATAATTAGGCGTCCTAAAGGAAGACCACCAGGAACAGCAAGATTTAAAAGACCTTTGGAAGCCTCTAATGAAGGTAATAAAAGCCGTAAATGTGGCTTGTGCAATGAGAGTGGACATAATCGTACCACATGTCCAGTAAACACCAATCGAAGGAAAGAAAGAATGATGATTAGATAGAACATAGATTAATTAAGGTTAGTGAATTAGACGATGTTTAGTAATATGGATCGAATTACAGTAGTAATTCGAGCCCGGCTCCCTTCGGTCGCCGGTATCATCAGAAAATAGAACCTTGTTACTTATTTTTTTCGTCTTATTAATCTTATAGGTAAATCTGAAAAGTTCACATACTCATTTTACAATTCAACAATTTAACGAAAAATTTTCATTTACAAAATGTTATTAAATTTATCACGCTATGTATTATAACATAATTTTTAAGTATTAGAGGGGGGCGCGTACAAAAAAACATACTGCATTGTTTTAATTTTTAATAAAATAATTGAAATTTTTATACCATGCGTAAAACATTGTGATTTAAATTTTATATATTTTTTACGCACCCCTGCATTTTGCGCAGGTGCGTAGAAAATAAAAACCTTAACTTTATTAACTTAATGATTTACAATATAAACTAGTAGAATATAAGTCTCAGTGGACTTCATTAAATTTATATTTTTGATTAACATTTTAAATGTATTATTTTATTTCTTTGTTAAAACTTCTAGTACTTACCAAATTAATAAAAAAATCGGTTTTTTTAATAAAGTTCGTTAACTTTAAATATTTATTCTTTCTATTTAATAAATATTACACCTTGTTACAACATTACAAATATATATGTATATTCGAAGCAAAAATAAATAGTACGGGAAATTACTAAAAACAATGAGACATAATGCCAGACTCAGAAAAATTAGAAGAACTGGTATTTCTTATTATAATCGCGTTATTTTAATTAACTCAAAATCTCATAAATCATAATTCAAATTATATTGTATATCCATCACTATTATGCAAACTCGAGCTGTTAGCATTTTTTACTGCTTTCACTGCCATTTTCATTTAAACTTTTACCGACGAATTTTTCAACCATCATTATTCAGTTAGGATCGATATTCGTTCCCTTAATGCTATAAATTATTACCAAAAGTAGAGAAATTATTATTAAAGAAAACAATACTTCGACATACAAAAATATATGACTATTATTTACCGCTCATTTTGTTTTAGAATTCACAATTATATTTTTAAAAGAAATTTAAAGTTTTATAATGCATTTAATAATGACCTATAATCAGAAAGTTGAAGCTGCGCTAGTAGACGATTTTTTAAACTAAAAATTTATTTTTTTAAAACAAAAAATTTTTTTATTTTTTATTTTATTTAAAATGATGTCTATAAATGGACCAAGAAGAGTTAGTATTTACGAAAAAAATTTTTTTTTTTTGTCCTAACAAAGTGAAGTCTTGCTTTTTTTAATTACAAGCATAATAACATAATAACAAAGATATTGTGTGCATATCTGTATACAGTATCTGCATCTGCGTAAAATTTATGCCCGTGTATAGGTAGTACATTGTTGCACATACTACACATGATTAATTTGATACATTTACGGAATTTCGGAGTTAAGTCACTGACTTCACCTTTTTCGTTTCAAAATTCATATTTTAAAGGATTTTAAAGCTTTATAACATATTTCATAATGTCTTCTAATCCAAAAGTTAGTGTTGCACTTAATAGAGCATATGCACTAATAGATTACAAAGTTTATAATGATACACACAAACGATATGAATTTCAAAAACAAACACTTCTTGCTGATGAATCACTTACAGAAAATGAAAAATCCGAAGCAATAACAATAATAACTAGAACTTATGATCATAACAAACTTATTTTTAATTCAGGAACAAAAAGAATTTGTGAAAATTGTAACCAAGAATGTTTAGCTACAACATTTTGTGAACTTTGTGTTCGAAATTATTTAAAAGCAAATTTTTCAAATTGGACATCTGGAAATGATATGATCAATAATTTAATACAAGAATGTCAAATGAAAACACTTGCACCAAATGGAATAGTAGAATGGATTCCATATAATAATTTACAAAATATTGAATACCTAACAAAAGGAGGATTTTCAGAAATTTATACAGCAGATTGGATTAATGGAAATTTTATTGAATGGGATTCTAAAAAACAACAATTAAAAAGATTTGGAAAACATATAGTAGTACTTAAAAAATTTGAAAAATTTGAAAATGCAAGTCAAAATTGGTTTGAAGAGGTTTGAATTTAAAATATTTTAAATTTCATTAATAATATCTTAAATTTTAATTATGTTTTTTACTTATAGGCAAGATCACATTTAAATCTAAGCAATAAATGGAATGTTATTGTCCAATGTTTTGGATTAACACAAGATCCATCAAATGGGAATTATATGCTCATAATGCAAAATATGGACATAGATTTAAGAAATCATTTACAACAAAATCATAATCAACTTACATGGAAAGAAAGAATTCAAATTGTCACTAGTATAATTGATGCACTATCAAAAATTCATGAAGAAAATGCAATTCATAGAGATTTACATTCTGGAAATATATTATTTAAAGGTGGTAGATTTGATATAAGTGATCTCGGATTTTGTGGACCTGCAGATAAACCATTAATAAGTATATATGGAAATCTTCCTTATATAGCACCTGAGGTTATTATTGGAAGAGAACAGACTTATAAATCTGATGTTTATAGTATTGCAATGCTTATGTGGGAAATTTCATCTGGACAACCACCATTTAATAATTATGAACATGATTATGATCTTGCAATGAATATTGTTAATGGTATAAGACCAAAAATTGTGCCTGGAACTCCTTTAGAATATAAAAATTTGATGAAACAATGTTGGGATGCTGATCCATCAAAAAGACCTGATATTATTACACTTCGGGATAAAATAAGAGAAATTAATTTATTATATCAAACTAAATCAAGTGAATTATCTCAGCTTGAAGAAAATAATAATTTTGAGGTAGAAAACCATACCAGCAGTAGCAAACCATTTACAAGTAAACTTCATCAATTTGACAATCTTCCTGAACCAAGAAATGCAACAGAAGGTATTATATTAATTTTTGTTAATTTTTAAAAAGGTGTATTAATGTATTTAATTAATTAATGTTTTTTTTTTAATTTAAATAATAACAGAAGAACAAGAAGGTATAAATTAAGCAATTTCTTATATAATTTTAATTTATAAATATTGATGATAATATATAATTTTTTTATAGCATTTCATAGTAACAAATCATATAATTTTCATATTCCTGATAATAGTAAGTGCAATTAAATTTAAATATTATATAACGAGGCGTTATTTATTGATTTACTTTGCGTTTTTTTTAGTTAATGATTTTAATAAATCAAGTAGTAAGAAAAATAGTACTTCAAAAATATATAGCATATTTAAAGGTAATTGAATTACATTTTATTTTGACATAATCAAATGAATGAATAACTTATATTTAAGGTTTTTTAGTTAGCAGCAAAAAGTTATCCAATATATTTAAAAGAAGCTCAAAAAATGGCAAGTAAAATAATTTAAAATGTGTTGATTTTATTTTAATATTAAACATGATTTATTATCTAGATGATTATAAGATTGAATCAATGCGAAAGCGAATAAAAAACCTTCATATTAATGATAATGGTACGATAAAACAATTATTTAAATTCGTAAAATAATTATTCTACAGTATTTTATGATTTTTAATTTATATTTGATAGACGAAGAAGAAGTACATAACAATCCTAACCTTCATTCAGAAGAACAAGATGAATTGGAACTTCCTGATAGTAAGAATTATTTTTAAAATGTTTAAAATTTACCATAGATTAAATATTTTTTTTTTTCTTTTAGATATTTAGATATGGATGAATTATATAAATTAGATAACATTATTATACCTGATTTTTTTTTCTTATCATAAATTATTTAAACACTATGACTTGATGAGATTTTCTTCAAGATTCTTAGTTTGTAATTTGAATAATTTATTTTTTATTTTTATTATTTGTTTTTTCTCATTATATTATTATTAGTAGCGTAAACTGAACACGTTTTTATTAAATAAATTTTAAAGTATATTTTAAATTTAAATTTTATGCGTTTTATTTAAGGATATATAAAAAAAAAATTCATTAAAGTCATGTTGATCGTTAATATGAATGAATTGTTGCAAATTTATTCTAACATGATATACTGTATATCTTTACGATCGCATCCCGGTGATATAGCGCTCTCACTAACCCAACATATATTTATTTTACATTTTTAAATGGAAAAAGGATTTAAAATTAAATTAAATTACTTTCAACAATTTCTTTTAATTTACCATCAACACATTTAACCACAACTCTTTTTTGTTTCACTTCTTTAAGAATAATACTAAGAAGAATTTTTCGTTGTTTTTCTTCAAAATCTTTAATTAAATTATCATTTTCATTAAAAGAATCCAAAGAATTAAAATTTCCTAAATCATCATTTTTAATATCTCTACTAATTTCTTCATTAGCTTGATCAGGATCTAACCAAATTCTAAATCTTTTATCAACTCAAACTTCACTTTATACATCTAATTTACCTCCCATTTTTTCTACTAATAATTTTACGATAGATAATCTTATTTGTATAATCCTGTACCAACCTGTAAAGTATTTTCTTGAGATAATGGTCGAAACATCTTTGTTGATAAAAATGATGGTGATATGCCACATTCTGTATCAGTTATTGTTATTAACGCGTGAATATTATTTGATGATGATGTATCCGTTGTTGTTGTATCTTGTACTCCAGCATGTTTCTTATATTGATCACTTAATAATGAATACGATAATGATGCTAATGAAATTAAGACATATCCTTTCTTCGTAAATTTCATGGAATTCCTATTTAAAAATATACATATATAAATATAAATAAACTCGAATAACTTTTAATTAAGACCGTTCCAATTTAACTATTTGCTTAGCGTCTCGTTTTTTTTTTCAAAAAAAAAAAAAAAATTGGGAGGTGATGTTACGCTCGCGCAAACAAGTGAAAAGGGAATAACTGATAAGTTAAAAGGGAATAAGTTAAAAAGGATAGACATTAAACAAACAACCAAGTTGGAACGGGATTGAGTCAATCCGTTATATCTGTTATTGTTACACTTACGATCTAATTTTCGTATAATCTGGGTAAAATCCAGAATATACCTCCCAAGCTTATATAAGATCAATAACTGATAAACTACGACTCAAATAAAAAATAATAAATTTACTCGATAATCTAAATAATCAAATCATAAATTAGTTTAAACAGATTCTTTTTTTCTTTTGGAAAGTAGTGTTTTATTTTCATAACTTACATTCATTAATAATTGTTTTAATGCACCATCTTCAGCCATAACCCACCAACGAGCATCTCTTGGTTCAACGACAATCATAAGTCAAACATTATCAGCTGTTGTTGGTGTGGAAATTAATAAATCATATACGCAGTATTATTACAGTATTCCCCATTAATAAATTTTCCTCATCATTGTTTTTATTCATAGAATTGGTTATTTTATTATTATCATTATATATAGTTGTAACCATCTGTTGACTCACAAAACAAACTTCAGATACTTCTAATAATTTAACTAAATCAACCCGTTCCTTCTTTTTTCTTTTTATTATTATTTCCATTTACTATTTTATTATCATTGTCTTTTTCATTTAATTTTTTTTTGGTTAATTGGATCTTCAACGTATTCTTGTTTTTCATTTTATAACTTCGCAAAATCTAATACACTATTAATAATACTTATTAAAGAAGTTCCACAACCTTGTATTGTTTCAACCAATCCAGCTTGAGCTTCATTTAATTTGCTTTCTTCCATTAATTCACAACTTGCTAAAATACCATAAAGAGGATTTCTTAATTCATGAGATATAGAAATGAATGCACCTTTTGCTCCATCGGCAACGATAACCCTTCTTTTAACAACATTTACACCAAAATTGCTCAAATAAACACGTTCTTCATCTTCAAATTGTTTTTGTGAATCATTGTCATAGCGATTAAGAAAAAAAAGCATTTTGTGTACCATCATAAATCGGTACAACAATACCGGAACGTACATAATCAGGAAAGAGGGTTGAAAGAATTTGGATAAATACAACCTTGTGAATGAGCCTAAATAAGCGAAATAAAAAGTGATTAGAGAAGCTTTTACAGCTTCAGAAGATAATTAACTTCACCAGCACAAGCGAGAGATCTTAAATGATTTGATGATACATCAGGAAGCGGAGTATCCACTTGAAGTACGAGAAGTTATAGATCACATATCTATAAATAAACTGAATCTACATCTAAATAATTTAACTGCCATGTTAAAGAATAGGATCACCAAAGTAGATTTACCTTATTTTCATCGTTATTAGAATTATTAGCTAATTGAATTTCCAAACAGAATTTGCTAAATTCAGCTATACTCTCTTCAGTCTCTTGCATCTTATTTCTTACACGTAAACGTAAAGTACTATTAGATCATAATTCTAATTCTCTCACGACAACTTTAGCAAATTCTTTTAAACTTTCACGATCCTTTTTTGAAAAACTATCCCTAGGTTCACGATCGATCACACATATCGTACTATCATCATCAGTTCGTAAAGGGACACCAGCATAGAATCTTATGAAAAGGAGAATCAGTAACTAAAGGATTATTACAAAATCTCCAATCTTTAGTGGTATCACAAATAGTTCGTCATTTTCTTGTAGTATAGTACGACCACAAAAACTTATTTTCCCAGTACTAGTTTCACTACATCCCATACCATCTTCAGCTTTAAACCATTGATGAGTCGTATTGAGAAGTGATATCACATCGATATTGAAGTCTTAAAATGTTCTTTTGATAATGTTACTATACGAGTAAAATTAACATCATTTGATGTATTAAGTATTTAAAATCTCTATAACGCTCTTCTACGTTCAACTTCATTAGGAGGCATGGAAAGAGAAAGGTAATGATTATTAACTAAATCATCATCATCATCATCGTCATCATCATAATTAATCTCATAATTACTATCTACTTCTTCAGATAAACATTTGTTTTGTTCACAATCATCTTCAAGACCTTTAATAAAAGAAGTCATAGCATCAGCTTCAGCAGTACTAGAATTAAATAGTAATTAAATTCACAAACTATTTTACTCCGAAGACAAGAAAATTTAGTTTTTTTGGAGTAATCATAGGATTAAATTTTCCTTGAGCATAATTATAAAGGAATTCTTTCCATTCATCAGTATTATATAGATCAAATTGTATATCGGAATCAGGGGAGGTAGCCAATAATGAATATTAACTTCACTACTACTAGATGATAATACATTATCAATAGAAGAAAGTTGTTTTGGAAAAGGTTTAAAACGAAATATCGCACATTGTTGTTTTATTGTTATTATTGTTCGTGATAGAAAATTTTTGTTTTATTAAAGTTTTCCATTCCACATCTTTTATAATATTTACTTGGATTCGATATTAAAATCGGTAACGCTATAGATTTTCTATGAACAATGTTGTTGTTATTAATATCGTTATTATTATTAATTCCTTGTATAGAATTTGAAATTTCTTTATCAAATTTGTAAGATTTAAATATAGAAGTATCCAAGAATTTTTTTCGTACAAAAGATTTTATCGGGATTTAGTTTTGAAGATGAATAATATTGTTGTAAATTGTCATGTGATGGTACGATTTGTTGTTCGACTGCGGGAAGTATGATAATAGGATTTGCTGTGTAACAAAAAATACGTCTTTTTTTAATCTAAAATTCTCGTATGAAAAATGTGAATTTGAAAAAATATTTTTTTTTTTAGTTTGAAAAAAAGGGAAGAATATTACACATATATAATGTATATATATAAGTAAAGAATGATATATATTAAAGTGATTATTTAAATTTTCCTCCTATTTAAGTATCAAAACATCATTTACGTAACATCACTATTTTTTTTGTAGAATTATAGTAAAATTGTTTTAAGTTCCATTGCATGAAGAAATAGTAACGTAATATTAAATTTTGTACAGAATGAAAGAAAAATGGTAAAAATAGAAAAATATACAGAAATTAGAAAATGGCAAAAAAAAAAAGTTTTCGTACAATTTAAAGAATATGATTAACTAAAAAAAAAAATATCATTAAAATAGACTAGTTACAACGTCATTGTCTTATAACATTTTGAATGTATTTAGAAATAAAAAAAAAATTAAACTCTAAACTGAAATCAAATTTTTTTAAATTTTCATTCTGTTTATTTCGAACAGTTTGAGTTTCTCAAACCCAATTTTCCAAGTAACTTCATTTTTTAATTATTTAACTTTATTCTGTTTTTTTATTTTAATTAATCTTATATGTGTTGCATCATCGGTTTGCTCTTTTCCTTTCAATCAAATATTATTATATTCATTGCAAGATTATTATTTTGTTAAATAATAAAAATACAATATTACAAAATCATTTTCAAAAAAAAAGAAGATTCGCTATAACTATAATGATGAGCTACGATATTAAAAAGGTTTTTCATTGTTAAATTTTAATGATTTCGTTATATTTAAATAAAAACAACTCAGTTTGAAATCCTTGTGAGCGTAAAAAATATTTAAACTTAAAAATGTTTAATTAAATATTAGATGTTATAATTAAAATTGTAAAATTTTAAGTATGCCGAGTTTTGTGAAATAAATTATAAATTTATAATCGATTCGAATCAAGTTCAGGTTAAATGATCGACCCAAATATTCTCTTATAAGCATTAGTTGTTTACTATGTAGTAAATAACTTTTTTATCATCCTGGCACGGGCATATAGTTTGATCAGTGATTGAACATATATAATAAACTATTTTGACTTTTGTGACTCTTGATTTGGAGGGAAATATCACTAATTGTAATGTAACTATAAATATTAGTAGATGTATTCTAATAATATAAACCAATAAAAATCAATTAAACTATAATTACTATAGCCTATCATACTGATTACATAATTTATAAACAGCAAAAAAATACTAGATGCCCATTGGCAAGGTGATAATTCAAATTATATATCTATCATTACTATGATTGCCCTACCGCCACTGCCACAACTTGACTTTTAATTTATTGCTTTCACTGTCATTTTCGCTTAATAAACTTGTAATAACATTTTTTCGAATTGTTTTACAACCATTACTAGAATCAGATTTTGGTTAATATAATGAGCAAAGTAAGTTGAACTTTTTATTGTAAAAGAAAAAATTTTTTATATAAAAAAATAGATAAATAAAAATGAAAATAAAAAGATGAATATGTTGTGCGTCAGGTGTCGATTTGCGTCAGATGACAGCTGACGCGCGTCAGATGCCAATTTTACCGGCTCAATCTTTTTTTTTTTAATTGTTTCAAAGTTGATAAATATATTTTAATAGTCTTATAGTCAAAAGTTCAACAACGTTATGATACATCTTACATCAACTAGTTTAAGCATGCCTACATTATTTTAATTTTCAATGACAAAACAGTGTCCGACCACATGACTGGCGAGATTGCGTTTTACCTCAGGAGGTGCCATTTTTTAGCATCCAATTTTTTTTCTGGGCGCAGTTTTTATTTGTCACAGGTTGAATAATAGAAGTATAGACATCACAATCATTACACCAACCGCAAAAAAATCATTATTGTAATATCAAATAGAGTTTTTGATTATGAAAAAAGTTTATTGTTAACTAATATATTTTCAGAAAAAAAGGTACATTTCGTTTTACATATATATACAGTTAATAATGTAAATTTTACGTATTAAAGAAGATTCACTATAATTTAAAAAAGTAACTCTGTAAATTAATGTGCGGAATAAAGTATTGTATCAAGACTTTAAATACATAGATGGTAACAAATTACGATAAAATCTTTGGAACAATTAGATAAACTCTGTGAACCTTTACAATACGCGTCTAAAAATATTTTTGATTTGTATTATGACATAATCTTTTTTGTTATCAATAATATACAATTAAATGGTTTAAACTTTTTATTGAATTTGTATTATACGTTGATATATGATAGCTTATCTGATTACATATAGTACTCATTGAAGAAAAAATTCATGATTTTATTTAATCATTTAAGATCACTTTAAAATTAACGAAAATTCTAACATAATTTTTGGTCACAAAAAATTTTGTGACTTGAATTTTAATTGAGTCAGAAATCAGTATTAATAATTTTGATTCACACGTCCTGGTTGTCAGCTTTAAACCCGGATCGAAGATACCACGATATTAAAATTTTTTTCATTATTAAATAAATAATAAAATAATAAAAAATTTAGACTAAACTAACTTATAGCTAGCACCAATTCTAGGCTAACTATATGGCATTAACCTTACACGTAATAAAGCAGTAAGCTAAGATTCCGAATTGATAGATTCCATAAAATCCGAAAAATGGCAATACTAAGACAAGTCTCGGATTATTGAACGCTGCATTCGAAGACACGTAAAGAATTGATAATTCAATTCTTTAAATTTTAGTGGACGTAAAATACGGAATAAAATATTTAAACCTGATGATTTTAATTTAATAAATAAAATCCTGTTTAACCAATTATCTGTTAATGACATTATATATTTATATCGTATTTAAAATTGGTTAAAAGAAAATTTTTAAATTGAACCCTGAAAATGATTATATTGATAATTTATTACAAGAATGTCAAATAAAATCATTTGCGCAAGTTTATTAGATTCCATATACTAATAATTTAAAAAATCTAACAAAAAAGAAACTTTGAAATTTATACAGCCAGCAGGCTGGATTGATGGAAAATTTATTGAATGGGATTTTAATATTAAAAGTTAAAAGACTTGGAAATCATAATACTATGGTACCTAAATTATTAGAAATTGAAGATTTGGAGAAGTTTGAACATTATTAATTGAAATATTATAATGAAGTATCTTTTAAAGGCTAAAGGAAATTAACTATGGTAAACTTAGACTCAATGTAAATTAAATTCAACTTAATACAGTACCTTAGACGTGATATCACGTGATTAGAGCCCAGAGTTGGATTAGCGTTGGATTGGTCAATGGTCACGCTGTATTTTGTTCACATAATATTATATGATTTGGGGTTTATATAGTTTTCGGGAGAACCGATCTAGTTTCAAACCGATTTATATGATTTTTCTATTCAACGAAAAATTACCAAATTTTGTGTTCATCCCATATAATTTTTCTCGTAAATTCAATAAAAAAAGAAAAGAAAATTCAAATTTAAATAAATTATTTAGCTAAGATATTTCGCACCTAATATTTTTCTTGATTTCATGCCGATTGATTATATTTAAATCATAAAAAGAACAGCGAAAATTAATTTAAAGGAAATGGATTTTTATTGAAAAGTTATTTTATCTATATTGATAAAGCCCTAAAAGATGGATACTAGTCTAAAAGGAAAAAGTCATTTTTTTTTTGTAACCAATCAACAACTAATGTAGAATTACTCAATATATTGAAATTTATCGTACTGAAATTTATTCGTCCATTTTAAGCTAAGATTAAAAAAGAAAAAATTTTCTTGATACGAGAGGATATGCAATATTCTACCTGTCACACGATTTCGCGATTATGTAAATTATGTAAACGCAAAATTTAAATTTTATTAATTTTGCCAATTTTTAATACATATATATACAATAAATTTGCCATTGCCCTAATTTTCTCATTTATATACTTTACCAAACTCATGAATTAAATATCCTGTCCAAACCCTAATGCAATAATAACGTCACGCACTGACCCTAATCCTAACGCAATAATAACACCTGATCCTAACCTTAATGCATATTATTCTTGGGGGTGTACAATATTAACGTACGAACTGGCTGGAGTTAACGTTAACGCCATCATGTGCAAATGCATAACTCCTATATTCTGGTAATATGTACGTGTACGTTAAGGACGCCAATTATCATGTACTTCATATTAATAATAAGATAAGCAATTTCTTTATCATACTTTACACTCCTTCAGGGCAATTTCATGAATCATGATACCATGATTTACAAATAGAGCATTGTTTCTTATCCCTTTTCTTCTTGTATCCTAAGCTTCTTCCTAAACATTTTCATTTCAGGTTCATTGTCAATATCACTGGATTCATTATCATTATCATCATATTATGGTATAGGAGAAAATCCTGGATATCGTTCATCTAGATAAATATGCTAATAAATTTATTTTAGCAACTTAAATTATCAATTTTTAAAGAAAAAAAACAGCTAATGACATAAATGAGGGAAAGAACATTTATGAACGCGAAATTCAATGTAAATGAATAGATTATCAAAAAGTAAAAAAAAAAGCTTTAAATTAATGGGCGTCCTTATCTTACAGGGAGGGTGTACAATCTTAACGTACACCTGGCGGCCCGAGTTTATTAGGAGTTATGTACGTGCACGTGCGTTAATTCCGGCCAGTTCCGTACGTTAATATCGTCCCCCAGTGTACGTTAAGAAACCCCCTAAATTAATCAGAATATCACGTGACAATTTACAAGACGTCATGACATAGCTACGTATATCAAAATAAATCAAATGAAAAAGACAAGAACAGCTTAGAACTGGCCTATAAACCGTTTATAAATTGGTCTAGTTGAAGGACCGGACTTTTTTGGAATTGTCAGGCAATTCATAATTTCATATAACAATTCCACGTTAACTTGACAAGAATTACTTTGCATACGAAACATTTTTGTTAAGGTTTTTTTTTTATGATAAACGCATTTCTTTATAGGATGTAAATTATAAAACAAATGAATTTTGTTATGACTTTGTAAAAATTAATAGAAAATAATGATTTTATTAATATTTAAGATGGTATGAACGTATGTTTTTACAATACATGTAATTTTCTGAAATATTAGAAACATGTATTGTATTCTAGTTTCATTAGGACGAAATATCTTTTTAAAGTTTTCGATATTTGCCCTAAGCCTCTAATTAACAAAATCATATTTTGTGAGGTACTGTACGTACTAGTACGTACTAACTTTTTATAATTTTAAAGACAGCTCGACAATGACTCTTTATAAATTGTCTATTTCTTTTTTTTATTATGGTTATAACAGTATTATTCCATTTGAAATTTATTATACTTTACTGTAATAACCCAGCAAGATAATTTTGTAAGTATCATAGTTTTTGTTCATTTTACTAAATGATTTACATTATAATAACTTGATACAAAATTAGTCCAACTTCACTCGACTAGAACCTGAATATCATGTGATTAGAAAAACAGGAACTATTCAAATTATCTTATTACGTATGCGAATTATTCCAAATAATTAATAAAAAATACCAAAATCTGACTTTAACTAACGTGATTCCCTAAAAGGACCAAGTAAAGTTTTAAAAATATTTTATGATGACGATAAGACCCAGAAATATAGTATATACAGGGGTAGGGTACGCAGATGCGTCGCCATCATAGTGGAATAAGACGGAGTAAAGTTTTGATTTGCGTACAATTTTAGAATTTTTCATCTATAGTTAGGTTATCAAGATTGCGTATTTTTATCAAAATTTTTATATGTAAAAAATTAGTTTGCGTATTTTTGGCCTAAATTTGGCTAATCTTATATATAAAATATTTTTATTGTACGTACTTATTTAATTAACCGCATTGTAATATTTAGTATTAATTGAAAGAAATTTCTAATGGTTAAAAGTGAAATTTTAGAAAAATAATATTGAAAAAATGGTAAATTCTATTTTTTGATTTTTTCACATTAGTATTTGGATTTATAAATAATAGAGAAGCCATGATAAAATAATTAATAACTTAATGTCTGAAATTTTATTTGCGTATTTTTGCAGGATTTTCAATATCAGGTGTCAATTATGCATACTACTCATATAAAAAGTCTCTCATAGTAAAAAAATTTTTCGCCACCTGACCCCTATATATATATTTCTGGGTCCTATGACGATTCGAAAAATGTTGGTTCAACATAATACTATAATGAGAATTAATGCATGATGAAAATCATCACCTGAGTAAAAAACTTTAGCCCAAATTTTTGTATTTTTTTATCATAAATGATACTACAGAACGGTCGTTTTAAGGAAAGCATAACAATTAATAAATAAAAGAATTTTTTGAAAATAATTACAATATAATAACATCTATGATTTAGTATCTTTTTTTTTTTTATATCAACGTAAATTTTTTTGGTAGTACATTGTTCTTTATGTAACATTTATTTGGGTTACACATGATTAATTTATATAAGTATTTCGGAGTCGATAACTCCGACACTGACTCAACCTTTTTGTTCCGAAATTTATATTTTAAAGAATTTAACATATTTTATTATGTCATTAGGTCAAAATAAATTAATTAATAATTCACTTAATAGGTCAATTGCATTAATGGATTACAATGTTCATAATGATATACACAAACAACATGAATTTAGAAAACAAACAATTCTTGCTGATGAATCACTTACAGAAAATGAAAAATCTGAAGCAATAAGAATAATAACTAAAACTTATGATAAAAATAAACTTACTTTTAATGAAGGAACAAAAAGAATTTGTGAAAATTGTAACCAAGAATGTTTAGCTACAACATACTGCGAACTTTGTGTTCGAAATTATTTAAAAGCAAATTTTTCAAATTGGACATCTGGAAATGATGTTATCGATAATTTAATACAAGAATGCCAAATAAAAACACTTGCACCACGTCTAATACCAGAATGGATTCCATATAATAATTTTAAAAATATTAAATACCTAGCAAAAGGAGGATTTTCAGAAATTTATACAACAATATGGGTTAATGGAAATTTTATTGAATGGGATTCTAAAAAACAACAATTAAAAAGATTTGGAAATTCTTATGTAGTACTTAAAAAATTAGAAAATATTGAAAATGCAAGTCAAAGTTGGTTTGAAGAGGTTTGAATTTTAAAATATTTTAAATTTCATTAATAATATCTTAAATTTTAATTATATTTTTTCGTTTATAGGCAAAATCACATTTAAATATAAGCAATAAATGGAATAATATTGTCCAATGTTATGGTTTAACACAAGATCCATCAAATGGAAATTATATGCTTGTAATGAATAAACTGGATACAGATTTAAGAAAATATTTACAACAAAATCATAATCAACTTACATGGAAAGAAAGAATTCAAATTATTACTGATATAACTTTTGCACTTAAAAGAATTCATGAAGAAAATGCAATTCATAGAGATTTGCATTCTGGAAATATATTAGTTAGTGCTAAATTTTTTATTAGTGATCTTGGATTTTGTGGACCTGCAGATAAACCATTGAAAAGTATATATGGAAATCTTCCTTATATAGCACCTGAGGTTATTATTGGAAAAGAACAGACTTTTAAATCTGATATTTATAGTATTTCAATGCTTATGTGGGAAATTTCATCTGGACAACCACCATTTAATAACCATGAACATGATTACGATCTAGCAATGAATATTGTTAATGGTATAAGACCAAAAATTGTACCAGGAACTCCTTTAGAATATAAAAATTTAATGAAACAATGTTGGGATGCTGATCCATTAAAAAGGCCTAATATTTTTACACTTCGGAAAAAAACGAGAGAAATTAATTTATTTTATCAAACTAAATCAAGTGAATTATCTCAGCTAAAAGAAAATAATATAGACAACTATACCAGCAGTAGTAGCAATCTATTTACAAGTAAACTTCATCAATTTGACAATCTTCCTGAACCAAGAAATGCAACAGAAGGTATTATATTAATCATTCTTAATGATTTAAAAGATTGTTAATATATTAAATTAATGATGTATTATTTTTTTTAATTTAAATGATAATAGAAGAACAAGAAGGTATAAATTAAGTAATTTCTTATATGATTTAATTTATAAGTATTGAAGTAATGATGATAATATATTTTTTTTATAGCATTTCATAGTAATAAATCATATAATTTTCAGATTCCTGATAATAGTAAGTGCAATTAAATTTAAATATTATACTGTATAACGAGGCATTATTTATTGATTTACCTTGCTTTTTTTAGTTGATGATTTTAATAAATCAAGTAGTAAGAAGAATACTACTAGTACTTCAAAAATAAATAGCATGTTTAAAGGTAATGGAATTAGTATATTTTATTTTGAAGTAATCAAATGAATGAATAACTTATGTTAAGGTTTTTTAGCTAGCAGCAAAAAATCATCCAATATATTTAAAAGAAGCTCAAAAAATGGCAAGTAAAATAATTTAAAATGTGTTAATTTTATTATAATATTAAACATGATTTATTATTTAGATGTTTATAAGATTGAATCAATGCGGAAGCGAATTAAGAAACTTCATATTAATGATAATGGTATGGTAAACAATTATTTAAATTCTTAAAATAATTATTCTACAATATTTTATGATTTTTAATTTATATTTGATAGACGAAGAAGAAGTTCATAACAATCCTAACCTTCATTCAGAAGAACAAGATGAATTGGAACTTCCTGATAGTAAGAATTCTTTTTAAAATGTTTAAAATTTACCATAGATTATTAAATTTAACGTAATATTTTTTTTTCCTTTTAGATATTTAGATACGGATAAATTATATAAATAAATTAGATAACATTATTATACCTGATTTTTTTTCTTATCATAAATTATTTAAACACTTGACTTGATGAGATTTTCTTCAAGATTTCTTAGTTTGTAATTTGAATAATTTATTATTTTATTTTTATCTGTTTTTCTCTGTATTATTATTATTAGTACTAATAGCGTAAACTGAACGCGTTTTTATTAAATAAATTTTCAAAGTATATTTTAATTTAAATTTTATAGCATTTCATGCGTGATAATATGATTCATACAAGGAAATGTATAAATTTAAAAAAAATAAATTCATTAATTGTTGAAAAATTTCTTTGTCAAAATTACCAGAATTATCATAATTCTGGATCTAAAGCACATGCAATAATATACTATATATCCTTCACGACCACATCTTCGGTGATATAGCGCTCTCACTAACTCGACATATATTTATTTTACATTTTTAAAAGGAAAAAGGATTTAAAATTAAATTAAGTTATATAATATTCGTTTATTTGTCTGTTAAAATATTTATTTATTTTTTTTTTTTTAAATAATTACTTTATAATAAAATATTCGTCACTCCGTCTCTTGTTATAATTTTTTTTTTCTTATTTTTTTTAAGGGTTTAATGAATAAAAATAAGTATAATGTGTGATAAATGTTTATCATAATATATAATGTTTATATGAATTTTTTTTTAATACAAAAATGAATGGAAAGAAATCAAAAAAAAAAAAAATCTACAACTTTCACTTGATTGTTCTTTTTTTTCTGACCATTTTTTTAATACTTTTTCCAACATTTTTAAACTAACAGGTTTAGTTAAAAATCCATCAACTCCACTTTCAAAAGCTAGATCTTTATCTTCTTCACGCACCAGCTAATCTAGTTAAAGCAATTATTAAAGGAGAACGTTTAGTAATAGTATTGATAGTACTATTTTCAATGATAGGAAAAGTCGGTGATGGAGGTATTGGTGATGGGGACGGTAAAGGGATTTTGTTGTTTTTTATCGATATTTTAGGTTTTAATAATAAACTTGTGATTGAAAATGAATTGTTTTGAAAAGAGAATTGATCAAGATTTGATACTCTTCTTTGTAAAAATCTATTCTTTTGAGTAAATGGTTTTAAATGATTATTTGATTCTGAAACTGGTGATAAAGGTGCAGTTTTGTTAAATAATGATGATGGAGGAAATTCAAAATTTGTAATTGTAGGTGATACAGCCGGAGATTTAGTGAGTGTTGTATTTGTTGTTGTTATTGCTTGAAAATTTCGGATTGTGAATTCTTCTTCAATTTTACGTATTTCTGCTGTTGCTACATTACCGTTCATTACAGCATTTGCACTTTGTTAACAACCCAAAATTTCCTAAATACATCGTGAAATTAATAGTACAATAATATCATAAAACATTGTATATAAACCATCATAAGATACTCTTGTAGGGGCATCGTACAACAGTCAGTATAGTAACATTAATTGTATTATTAATTTATTAACATATAATATGACTTTGTAAAGGTCAATAGAAACTAATTGATTTTATTAATAATTTAAGATGGTATGAACGTATGTTTTCACAATACATGTAATTTTCTGACATGTATTCTAGTTCCATTGGGACGAAATATCTCTTTAAAGTTTTCGATATTTGCCCTAAGCCCTATTTTTGTGAGGTATTTTACGTACTACGTACTAACTTTTATAATTTTAAAGACAGCTCGACAAATGACCCTTTATAAATTGTCTTTTTTTTTTATTATGATTATGACAGTATTATTCCATTTGAAATTTATTTATACTTTACTGTAATAACCCAGCAAGAAAATTTATAAGTATCATAACTTTATAATAAAAGATAATAGTTTTATTCATTTTATTAAATGATTTACATTATAATATCTTGATACAAAATTAGTCCAGCTTCATTCGACAAGAACCTGGATATCATGTGATTAGAAAAAGAGGAATTATCCAAATTATCTTGTTGCGAATTATTGAATTATTTCAAATAATTAGTAATAAAAATACCAAAATCTGACTTTAACTAACGTGATTCCCTAAAAGGACCAAGTAAAGTTTTAAAAATATTTTATGATGACGATTCGAAAAATGTTGGTTCAACATAATCATACTATAATGAGAAATTGAGAATTATGCATTATGAAAATCATCACCTGAGTAAAAAACTTTAGCCCAAATTTTTGTATTTTATCATAAATGATACTACAGACGGCCGTTTAAGGAAAGCATAACAATTAATAAATAAAAGAATTTTTTTTTATATGAAAATAATTACAATATAATAACAGATAATAAAATCTATGATTTAGTATCTTTTTTTTTTTGTATCAACGTAAATTTTTTTGGTAGTACATTGTTCTTTATGTAACATTTATTTGGGTTACACATGATTAATTTATAATAAGGATTTCGGAGTCGATAATTCCGACACCGACTCAACCTTTTTGTTTCAAAATTCATATTTTTAAAAGAATTTTAAAGCTTTATAACATATTTCATTATGTCATTGGGTAAAAATAAATTAATTAATAATGCAATTAATAGAGCATATGCATTAGTAGATTACAATGTTCATAATGATATACACAAACAACATGAATTTCAAAAACAAAAACTTCTTGCTGATGAATCACTTACAGAAAATGAAAAATCTGAAGCAATAATAATAATAACTAAAACTTATGATAAAGACAAACTTACTTTTAATGAAGGAACGAAAAGAATTTGTGAAAATTGTAAACAAGATTGTTTAGCTACAACATACTGCGAACTTTGTGTTCGAAATTATTTAAAAGCTAATTTTTTAAATTGGACATCTGGAAATGATATGATCGATAATTTAATACAAGAATGTCAAATGAAAATATTTGCACCACGTCTAATACCAGAATGGATTCCATATAATAATTTTAAAAATATTAAATACCTAGCAAAAGGAGGATTTTCAGAAATTTATACAGCAATATGGATTAACGGAAATTTTATTGAATGGGATTCTAAAGAACAACAATTAAAAAGATTTGGAGAACAAATGATAGTACTTAAAAGATTAGATAATGTTGAAAATGCAAGTCAAAGTTGGTTTGAAGAGGTTTGAATTTTAAAATATTTTAAATTTCATTAATAATATCTTAAATTTTAATTATATTTTTTTACTTATAGGCAAGATCACATTTAAATATAAGCAATAAATGGAATGTTATTGTCCAATGTTTTGGATTAACACAAGATCCATCAAATGGAAATTATATGCTTGTAATGAATAGACTGGATACAGATTTAAGAAAATATTTACAACATCATAATCAGCTTACATGGAAAGAAAGAATTCAAATTATTACTGATATAATTAATGCACTTGGAAGGATTCATGAAGAAAATGCAATTCATAGGGATTTGCATTCTGGAAATATATTATTTGGAGAATATTTTTTTATTAGTGATCTTGGATTTTGTGGGCCTGCAGATAAACCATTAAAAAGTATATATGGAAATCTTCCTTATATAGCACCTGAGGTTATTATTGGAAAAGAACAGACTTATAAATCTGATATTTATAGTATTGCAATGCTTATGTGGGAAATATCGTCTGGACAACTACCATTTAATAATTATGAACATGATTATGATCTTGCAATGAATATTGTTAATGGTATAAGACCAAAAATTGTACCAGGAACTCCTTTAGAATATAAAAATTTAATGAAACAATGTTGGGATGCTGATCCATCAAAAAGACCTGATATTATTACACTTCGGAATAAAATGAGAGAAATTAATTTATTTTATCAAACTAAATCAAGTGAATTATCTCAGAGTGAAGAAAATAATAATTTTGAGGTAGAAAACCATACCGGCAGTAGCAAACTATTTACAAGTAAACTTTATCAATTTGACAATCTTCCTGAACCAAGAAATGCAACAGAAGGTATTATATTAATCTTTATTAATTGTTTAAAAGACTATTAATTATATTAATTATTTTTTTAATTTAAATAATAATAGAAGAACAAGAAGGTGTAAATTAAGTAATTCTTATACAATTTTAATTCATAAAAATTAATGATAATATTTATTTTTTTTTTAGAATTTCATAGTAACAAATCATATAATTTTCATATTCCTAATAATAGTAAGTGCAATTAAATTTATATATTATATAACGAGGCGTTATTTATTGATTTACTTTGCTTTTTTTAGTTGATGATTTTAATAAATCAAGTAGTAAGAAAAATAGCACTTCAAAAATAAATAGCATATTTAAAGGTAATTGAATTGCATTTTATTTTGACATAATCAAATGAATAAATAACTTATATTTAAGGTTTTTTAGTAAGCAGCAAAAAGTTATCCAATATATTTAAAAGAAGCTCAAAAAATGGCAAGTAAAATAATTTAAAATGTGTTGATTTTATTTTAATATTAAACATGATTTATTATTTAGATGATTATAAGATTGAATCAATGCGAAAGCGAATAAAAAAACTTCATATTAATGATAATGGTATAGTAAAACAATTATTTAAATTCTTAAAATGATTATTCTACAGTATTTTATGATTTTTAATTTATATTTATAGACGAAGAAGAAGTACATAACAATCCTAACCTTCATTCAGAAGAACAAGATGAATTGGAACTTCCTGATAGTAAGAATTATTTTTAAAATGTTTAAAATTTACCATAGATTAAATTTAACGTAATATTTTTTTTTCTTTTAGATATTTAGATATGGATGAATTATATAAATTAGATAACATTATTATACCTGATTTTTTTTCTTATCATAAATTATTTAAACACTTATGAAATTTCTTCAAGATTTCTTAGTTTGTAATTTGAATAATTTATTTTTTTATTTTTATTTTTTTCTTTCTCATTATATTATTATATTAGTAGCGTAAACTGAACGCGTTTTTATTAAATAAATTTTTAAGTATATTTTTAAATTTAAATTTTATAACATTTCATGCATGGTAATATGATACAATATATATATCATATAAATATAAATATAAATAGCGTATAAGTTAAAGTCACGGTGATCGTTAATATGAATGAAATGCTGCAAAATGTCTTTGTCGAAATTTCCAGAATTATTCATAATTCTGGATCTAAAACACATACAATATCCTTCACGACCGCATCTTCGGTAATATAGCGCTCTCACTAACCCAACATATATTTATTTTACATTTCTTTCCATTTATCAGTATTATATTGATCAAATTGTATATCGGAATCGGGAAAGGTAGCTAATAATGAATTATCAACTTTACCACTAGGAGATGATAATACATTATCAATAGAAGAAATTTGTTTTGGAGAAGGTTTAAAACGAAATATCGCACTATTACGACGAGAAGATACATTGTTGTTACTATTATTATTGTTATTATTGTTCGTGATAGAACATTTTTCTTTATTAAAGTTTTCCATTCCACATCCTTATAATACTTACTTGGATTTGATATTAAAATCGATATCGCCATAGATATTCTATGAATGATATTATTATTGTTATTAATATGATTGTTATTATTATTAATTTCTTGTATAGAATTTGAAATTTCTTTATCAAATTAATATAGAAGTATCCAAGAATTTTTTATCGTACAAAAGATTTTATCGGATTTGGTTTTGAAGATGGTGAAGAATTCGGCGGAGATGTTGGCATTTTATTGGAATAAAATATGTGTGGTTGATAAAAGTTGTTATTATGTGATTGTTTTTGTGATTGTTATTTAGACTTCGGCAAAATATGATTGGAATGTCTTATTATTGGTTTTTTTTTTTAACAAAAAAAAGAAAGAAATAGGATTAAAAAAAAAATATATCTGTATTTAAAAAATTTGTCTTCTTTTTTTTTTCGTAATATAATTTTTTTAGTTTGAAAAAAAAAAAGAAATTTATACTACTATACATATATAATCGTGTATATAAATTTAAGTAAAAAAAAAAAATGTTAAATGGTAAAATATAAAAATGTTATGTATATAATATATATAAAACGTGAATAAGGACGGAACAAAGGCAGTACACTTTCATAAGTTTCACAATATCAGCAGTAACTGGGAAAAGTAAAATATATTATTATAATTATTATAAGTTATTTATTTTCGTAATATATTTTTTTTTTCAAGTTCATAAGCTTTCACTAGCAAAACGAAAAAATTATTATGCAACCAAATAAATCACCAGTAAAAACAGTAAAAAACTACAATCAGTTACACATATTGAGAACTTACAACTGATGTAAATATTCTTCAATAATTTCTTTAGCAATATTAAAACTAGGAATACGGAAACCGTTAAAGTCTGTTGCAACTGAAACTAAGTTCGACTGAAAATTTGTAAATTTTTAATTGTAAAAAAATATTAAAAACTTCTTTCTTTTTTTTTTTTAAAAAAAAAAAGAAGAAACAAAAGAAAAGATGATTAGTATTCGTGCAAAGACAATTATTTCAGGGGTTCAAAAGGACACGATTATGCAAAAAAGGAAACAGTGGTGATTTTTGTGGAATGTTTTTCAGAGAAAGTCCTTCGTTCCTTTTTTATTCAGTGAATAAAAAAGGAACGAAGGAACTATTTACATTTTCCTCCTTTAAGTATCAAACCATCAATCACTTTATAATTTTTCTGTAGGATTATAGTAAAATTGTTTAAGTTCCATTGCGAGAAAGTATAGTAACGTAATATTGAAATTTGTAACAGAATGAAAGTAAAAAGTTTATTCCGTACAATTTAAAGTAATTTGAATTGTGTAACATGGAAACATGATATGTCTGCACCTGACCTATTTCGTATGTATTTATTATGGTTAGAGCCTATTAATAAAAAAGGTAATCATATTTCATTTTTAGTATTATTCCGGACAATGTGAGCGTCCGCAGCAGATCAACATCGCTGATTAAAGTATAATGGATTAATGGATTCTTTATAAACCGGGAGATTTATTTTTTTAAAAAATACCTTTTTTTCGGTTCTTATCAAACTGAAAAAATGTTTTGTTTTTTATATTTAAATAAAATTATTTAATCTCGGCCGATCGATTTTAAGAGATGGAAAAATGACTTTCAAAAACTAAAAAAAAATAATAATTTCCTTTGATATCACGTATAAAAAATTTCTCAGACAATTTCTTTAAATCACATAAAAATTTTAAAAAAATTACTTATAATAAATAATAGATACAGTAATTTAACGAATAATCTGACCGATAGTTTATTTATTCCAATACGTGAATAACTGAATAACGTGATATCTAACCATGTGCAAATTAATTTTTATAGCTAATTAGTTACTATATCTGTATATCATTATCCAAAATAATTGTAAGTTAAATAAATGATTAACTTAAAATCTGTTGATATAATTCATAAATATAATTTATTACATCTTAATAATATATACAAATTTTACAAAATTTTTCCAATATCAACTGATTTCAACCAATAAAAACTTTTGAATAATTTTTTGTATAAATCAATATTAAGTGATCCTGACGCAATATAATTATAAATAGAATAGTTATAACGTTATCATTGTCGTGTAACATTTTGGATGAGTTAATTTTTAAATTTCTATTCCGCTTATTTCGAACCGTTTGACATTTTGTCTTAATTTTAAATATCATCAGGAAAATTTTTCACTTAAATCCACATGGAAATCCAAATAGAATATTGTGGCTCTAATATTTTCCAAATATCTGTAGTATTTTCGGGATCCGGTCAAAATCGCGACGGGTCAAAATCTCGAATTCTAATGCTGGTCAAAAATATCACGTGATTACGCATAACTCTGCATAACGCGGGCCAACTGTCGGGATTTTGACCCATTCGGGATTTTGACCCGTCGCGATTTAGACCCATAACCGTATTTTCGGCATAGATCCACAAAATTCGATGTGAAACCGCGTAGGGTATATGGGAATGTGTGGAATTCCACATATTTCTGAACTAATCTATGTAGAATTACGCGGACTGATCTACCTAAAAATTTCATGAATCAAATTTCTAATATCTGAATAGAAACAAATCCCGATTAAATCTTTGGAACAACTAAATAAACTCAAAATACGCGTCTAAATAATTTGTATTATGAAATGGTTTTTTTTTACTGTAATATAAAATATTTCTTGTTCTTCAAAACTGGCGACTGGCGACTGAAGAATTATAGGCGTAAAGTATATTGTAAGCGTAAAGTATAAGAAAAGGTATTTAAACCTCTCTGATAATAAATAAAAATTAACCAATTATGATATTAAAATTGTAAAATGTGAATTAAATTATAAAGTTCGGGTCGACCAAAATACTTCTATGTGTGTCTAAAGAAATGAATTAATAGTTAACACCTAATTATACGTGACGTGAAGACAGACATTAATGACCAAACCATGTTAAATAATAATAATTGAATGAAATATATTTTTTTATAAATAATATGCATATTATTATACATCATTTTAAGTCTAATTTTCCTTAAATAAGCTTATTATTAATAAATTATAAATAAATTCGTTTTATAATAATTATTCTGCAATTTTTACAAAATTGACCATCATCATAATTGCTGTTTTGGCACGATGGATTTCTGCCAACAGATAAGAATTTTTTACAATAAATATTAATATGGAAAAATTAACTAAATTGGTTCAAACTGCCTGTTCCTATAAAATATTTTTTATCACGTGGCTGAGTTTTTCAGAATTTTTTTTATAGGGTGTTTATCGCTATAAAATCAAAGATATTGATGCAATAAAAAATCTCGATAATATTAACCAAAGTCTTATCCGTGCCATCTAGAAATGGGAATAATATTGCTAATAATTTATTTATCTAAATATTATTTTTATAATACAATTAATAAAATTATGTATTAATTAGTCATTTCATGTATTAAGCGACTTAAAAATTTAAATTCAATGTAGTAAAAACATAAAGTCATAAATATCGTTACAATGTGTATAAAATTTAAAACTATTTTGGATAATTAAAAAAAAATCATTTTTTACAACATCGTATAATCACAACTCAACATATCGTATATATATTAAAATTATTTATTTAATTTCAAAGAACTAACGCTACACAAGCAACTGTTCAGCAAAGTATTATTCCTTTATTTTTATTAAAATCCTAATAAATTATTTATCTTAGATCAAACTAATAATAAAAAAATTATCTAAAATACTGTTTAATTTTTTCATAAATAAATCACAGAATATTAATTGTCTATACAATAAAATACATTGGTTTAAGTTGATCCCGGTGCGAAAGCAACGGGTAAATATAAACATAAATTCGGTTTGGATTTTCTAATAGAAAATTTGTAAATTTTTTTTTTTTTTAAACTATCAAAATAATAACTTAATGATTTATAATATCAGTGGACTTCATTGAATTTTTATTCATTTTGGATTTTTGGTTACATTTTAAATGTATTATTTTATTTCTTTGTTAAAACTTCTAGTACTTACCAAATTGTCCTAATAAAAAAATCTTAAGGAAACCGAAAGACTGACCTTTTTTTTTATTAAATCGGTTTTTTTAATAAAGTTCGTTAAAATATTAAACTTTAAATATTTGTTCTTTCTATTTACTAATGAATAATACGCCTTGTTACAACATTACAAAAATATACATACTATATATATATTCGAAGAGAAAAAAAAACTCTCTTCCCCCTTTTTACTATAAATCCGCAGTAAAATTAAATTTTTCGGAAGCTAAAAAATTTTTTTTTCCTTTATTAAAATACAGTATGGAGACGATATTAAAAAAGAAAGAGTTTTTAAAAAAGTTTTATTTAGCAACAAGTTACGCCTTATCAAAATACAGAAACATAGGTGGAAAAGTACGAGAGAAACCTATGAGAAAATAAGCAGTAACTAGTAACTTCGATAATACTATAGTCAAAGTGAGCCTTTTCGAAGAGATAGGGGAAAATACGAACACTAGAGGCAGAATTGACGGAGCTTATTATAAAGGTTTGTGGTGAAATAGCTTATGAAAGCTACGAAAGAGACACTACTCACCTTGGGAAAAATAACGCTTCTTTTGAGAGGATGGCTGCGGCAGACGAAAAAGAATGATAAGGAACATGTGGCAGGAGCCAAAAAAAGGGAAGGGAAAAGGAACGAATAATTGCAGAGATAACGTCGAACAATGATAACGCCAATCAGAAGCACAAAAATATAAAGAAAAGGAATCGGAAGACAAGGATGGATAAAACTTCCATAAACCTCCCGATACTGCCACCCGAGTATGACGTAAAAACAGATCATGTTCACGAACTATTCTTGTATGACATACCGAAGCGCTGGAATGAAATTTAAGTTCAAGAAATGGTCAACAAGATTAATGATAAGGTGTACTCGATTTCGATCAAGAAACAGTATAAATATCAAACGGTTAAAATAAAGGTTAAGTTACAGGACCGTTTCGATAGATCGTTTTCAGGTGGAAATTTCGGGATAATTGTTAGCGGTAGTTTTGTAAGGTAGTATGATGGTAAGTCAACGGTGAAAAATAGGAGAGAACGAGATAAATGGCAGCTGTGGAGGGAGGTATCAGATAAAGAGATGAAAGAGATGGATGAGGATGAGCCGAAATACCTAAAAGCTTTGACGGCTTCATATCCTAAAATCGCATTTTCGAAAGTGATAAAAATCCGGCCTTGGAAAGTTTTGACTTATTTTTTAAGTCGCAAAAGGACCTGGAAGACACACTATCGAAGGCGGCTGAAAAAGGAGATGGAACAAAATGGGCTTCTCAGACTTTCAAGGAGGTGAAAGACCAAGTGGAAAGAGAACGGAACGAAAGAAGGAACCAACGAAACTTTAGAAAACAAGCGCTATTCGAATGACAAGAAAGAAACCTCTCGTTTGGGTCGATAGATTCGGACAAAATTCAAGGTCGTCATGAGTGGAGCTTGGACAGGCTCTTAGGAAAAGAAGGAGAATATGAGTAAAGTAGTGATACATCCCTCGGTCGAACCTGAAGAAGTAGTAAACGTTGTCAACAACCTTAGGAACGACCTCAATCACGTGATCCGGAGAAGGCAGACGACGCAAAAAAAAGAATGCATCGAACGTCTTGTCAATAAATCAGATAATTACGAATTAATAGAGGATGATGTGGTTGAATTCATTAACTAATATAGTAAGATACAATACAAAGGAGCGGAGGAAGTAAATGAAGAGGGCGACCGCCATTCTGGAAGCAGATTACGCATCATTTGGTAATAAACGAAATTGTGGAGCATAATATTATTCCACAATTTAAACCATATAGCTCTAATCGGTATATCGGATTCCAAGTAAAAAGGAGCTTTGCAGAAACCCGTGATTTGTTACCATGCAGTTAAGAAATTGCCATCAAATCACAACGATCTATTATCTAACACGTGACGATATGGTAATCAAACGATCTCGTGAAAGTGTTGATAACATATCTTTACGAAGTTGTAAAATGCTATTAAATAAGTGGTAAATAGGTGGTAAATAGGTGGTAAATAACATCGAGAATTAGTGGTGAAAATTAATCTAAGATATTTCTTAGATGTATTAAATAAGTATTAAATATTGGGGGTCTTCACAAAACCCGTGATTGAGATTGGGATTGGGATTATTGGGATTGAGATCAGCTTGAAATTGAGATTAACGTTTCAATCTTGATTCACAAATTTTTGTGTTACATTAGGTTAATGATTTACCGTTATGCTTTAAAAATTTTTTTTTTTCGTACTTTCTTTTAAAATTTTACATAAATTTTTATAATTACATATTATTTTCTCAGTAATGAACAGGGAATTCCAAATTTCAATTTGTATATTAATAATTATTATACTTATTAAATATAATGAATTTGAAGAAAATTTAATTGCTACTTATCAAACTGAACAAGAAGAAGAGGAAGAAAATTTTAACATTTTACCTTTAAACTTGCTATATTTACAACTTAATAGAATAGAAATTAATGAGTGCATCAATTTAAGAAGATTAAATAGATCAATATCTCAGTATTGGTTTAATGAAATATGTTTAAATATGCAAGATTTTGAATTTAAAAGACATTTTAGGTTAACCAGGTCTACATTAGAATGGTTATGCTGTGAAATAATACCACATTTAAGAAGAGAAATTACAGAACCTGGTATAGTTGGACTTGCATGGGAACAAAAGGTTGGTGCATCATTATGGTTTCTTGCTACTGGAGAATGTTTTAGGTCTATAGGTAATAGGTTTGGAATGGGAGAATCAACTTTTAGTTATGCATTAAGAGATTTTATTAATGTAATAGTTACAAAATTTCTAGCAGAAAAAATTGTTTTTCCAAATACAGAATCAAAAATTAATGAAATTACAAATGGATTCAAAGGTACTGGAAGAATTCCTAATGTTATTGGAGCTATTGATGGTAGTCATATACCAATTAAAGCACCTCATCTATTTCCTGTAGATTATTTTAATAGAAAAGGATTTTATTCAATTGTTTTACAAGCAGTAGTTGACCATAAAAAAAGTTTTTTAGATATATGTGTTGGTTGGCCAGGTTCTAAACATGATAGTAGAATTTTAATAAATTATAATCTATATAATAAGTTTAATAATTTAGTAACAACTTTTAATAATAAATACATATTAGGTGATGGAGGATATCCGAATCTTAGTTGGTTAATAGTTCCTTATAAAGATATAGGTAGAGGATTAATTCAAAAACAAACATATTTCAATCGTAAACATTCACAAAAAAGAATCAAAGTAAAACAAGCTTTTGGTTTATTAAAGGGTAGATGGAGATGTCTTCTTCATAGTTTAGAAGTTTCATTTGAAATAATACCACATATAATAACTACTTGTTGTATACTCCATAATATTTGTGAAGAAAGACGCGATTTTTTACAACCAGAAGAACAATATCATGATACAGGAACTGATGTAAATAGTGAAACAAATGTTAATGAAACATCAGAAGGTAATGCTATAAGAAATGCAATATGTGATTTATTATGGAATAATCATCAGAGGAGATATTTAAATACAAATAATAATTAAGTAATAAATCAATGAATTAAAAAAATTGTTACAAACATATATTTTCCAATTTATTTCATAAAACATTTAAAAGAATTACATTATTTATTATTGGGTGCATGAGCTATCATTTCTATCATTTTTATATTCAGAATCATCCAATTGTGCAAAAGATGGTAAAGATGTTTGTAAATTTCTTTGCAAGTACATGAAATTTGAAGAAAATTGAGGCAAATCATCTATAAATTGAATTAAAATTAAATTAATTAAATTAAAATTAGAATTGAATTTAATATAAAAAATCAGATTTTGATCGTAAAATAAAAATTTGAATTTGTACGTGACGCAAAAATCAAAATTTAAATGTGACGCAAAAATCAAGATTTGAA